AGCAGCAGGCGAGAGGGCGGGAGGGCGGGAGGATTAAGCGAGCGGCGGGCGGGAGGGCGGGAGGCGGGAGGATTAAGCGAGAGGCGGGCGGGAGGGCGGCGGTATTAAGCGAGCGGAGGGCGGGGCATATTAAGCGAGCGGCGAGCGGGAGGGCGGCGGTATTAAGCGAGCGGAGGGCGGGGCATATTAAGCGAGCAGCGAGCGGAACGTCGGTGGGTATGTTAAGCGAGCGGCGTCGGAGGGCTACCAAACACCCAGGCACGGTAATCGAGCCAATGCCGCCTACTCACCTCCAGAGAAGCACTCGGCATTGATACGGCATGGGTCTGGAACGTATATGTTAAGCGAGCAATGCCCGGCATGCTATTATGGCGCTACCAAACGCCCATCAAACTACCTTCCCACGTACTCACCTCCAAAGAAGCACCGGCATAGATACGGCAAGGATATATCACTCCCCGGGGCGGTATATGTCATTTAAAGGAGCCCTGGGCACGTGGCCGACAGGCTGTATTATGCTGAACAGCCTGGCTAACTGCCCCTTGCACAGGACACGACTAAATAGCCAGAAAACGCGAAAGGTAGGCCCCCGACTATTAGTCGGAGCTACCGTACAGGGGCAGCTGCCAGTGTTGCGCAGCCTTCCACAAGGGAAGATTGAGCGCAGATTCATAATTGATGTTTGGGTAATTTGTATGGACGGTTGTACTGGGCAAGCGTGCCAAGATACTGTACATAGGGACAAGCTAGAGCCTGACTCTCTGCTAGATGAGGGCAAGATGCGAAGGGCGACCTCCGCATAGTTTCCCACGCACGCGGCTCTCCCTTTGACTTCATTAGCGGCTCGACAGAACTGATGGTCTTTGTGATTCTCATGCTCGTCCATGTAGCCATCATGGATGAGAAAATGTTGTGTAGCATGCTCATTTGCCACTCACCCATTCCGCCACCCAGAAATCTAGGCGCCCGTCATCTTAGCATCACGAACGGCCGACCTACCGGTCGCTTCTTCGGCAGAAGAGATCCTCCTTATGTCCGCACCTTGACTGTGTTCGCCTGCCCGGAGAAACATGGATCTGTACTCTTTCAACCTCAAATGGTAGCATTCTGATCAGTTCGCACATTCTGATGCCTAGCCCACATACTTGCTCCGAGAGTTGGGCTCGCTCTTCGTTCACTCGGCGAGGAAAACAGCCTTCGAGCAATTTAACCCCGTCGATGCGCTGATGGACGCGGAACGTTGAAATGCCGAATTAAGGTGATGGCAGCGCTCGAGTTTGGCGCTATGTGATTCACCGCCAAGCGCAGCTACTGAAGCGGGATTTTGCTCAGTTGAGTGGCTGTAAGCTCGACGTGATAGGTTCGGTCAGTTCCCAAAACAGCGGGAGAGCCATTGCAACAGAAGTCGTCCCACGAGCGGGCAGAAACTTTGCAGCTTCTGAGATCTGATGACTTGCTGGCCGATTCTGAGTGATTATTCGCTGCTATACTTGTTTCATCGTGACATCGTGAGTGACCTCTTATCATAGGCTTGAGTTTAAGAGCCCTTATCTTAATCCAGACGCAGACTGTCCGGGCTATATGTAGTGAGCTCTGAACAACTTCCCGGGAGGCACAACTTGGTTTGATCACCATGGACATGTCTAATCCTCCGATTACGCCTGCATTGATCTCATTTCTGAAAGATCTGTGAGTGTGATCTCCAGCTTATGATTCAACATACCGTGCCATACCTAATTTTCCGCTCTACGTTACAGGCAAATTGTTAACATGAACGAACCAGCGATGCTCGCGTTGATGATGTACGACTATCGTGAGCATGAATTGCCGGCCATTCTTGTCATTTGTCTAGCTGACTAGCTGCACTCAGTGCTCACACTAGCCGACGAGGTATTACTAGCTTCATCTTTGTATGATAAATTTTTACGAGCTCAGACTATAGGTCGAGTTGGTGTGGAAGCGGCCATTTACCGGCATCACCTTACTTTTCTTAATTAATCGCTACTTCGCGCCGATGGAGATGATCGTGCTGACCGTAGCCTTTCAAAGCAACTGGCCGATGGAGGTGAAATATTCTGTTCTCTGACATGGAAGCGTGAACTTACCCTCGCCATAGTTGTACGCAAGGTTTTGTCCTTAACCATCGTTCGGGAATTTGATATGCGTCCATAGGTGTCAACGATTCTCGCGTTACGAGGGAGCAGGATATGCAGCAGTTACCGGAATATGCCAATGTAAGAAACCTCTTCTGTCGCACGAGCCAACAAGTTCTAATCGAAGAATATCCAGTGATTATGATAATTCGCGTCTACGCGCTCTTCGGGAAGAGTCGCCCTGTGTTGGTTGGTCTCATCCTCGTGTTCTTGGCGCAGGTAGCCGTGCAAGCCCGAGTTCTCGTCACCGGAGTCGGTCAGCTTACAATATTCAATGCTTGATGTGCAGTGACTGATTCGTATCTGGGATTCTCAGCGCTCAAGGTCCCGATATTGGCGGGCTGTATTCTTGTCGGGAGGACGCAACTGTTTACGGGACTTTGGATAGCTCCGCTCGTCACGGATGGCTGCATATTCTTTTTGACACTGTGGCGGTCAAGGATCTATTTCAACCGGGCTGCGCGCATGCCGTGCGTCTCTCTGATGCCATCTAACGGGTGTTGCAACTGACCTCGTATGTGTGCAGGATGCTTCAGCTCTTTCTCAGGGTGAGCCCGATATCGATTGCACTCGTCGTTGTCGGTCACTTACACTCGTGTACTGGTACCCAGGACGGTGTAGCCTATTTCTTCGTCATTTTTGGCTCAAACCTGCTCAACGTCATCATGTTCTTGGTGAGCGGGATCTCTTGAACCTTGACGAGATGTTCTCTGTGACGAGAATGTATCTTTTGCTAGGCCGTCAGCGCTGAGCCCCTAAGGCCATTCTTCGCGCCGGAGGCCCAAGCAATAACCTCGATAATGGTTTCTCGGTGAGTGGCGAACAATCATGCGATGAGCAACCTGCGATGTTCATGATTCCGAGCAGCATCGTTCTCAACATCCGATCGTTCTCTCAAGACGCAGTTATACCCCTGGCCAGCCTCTCGAGATCAGAAAATCGGTGACGCTAGATAGGAATTTCCGGTATATGAATCCTGAGATGAATTTATGAGGCAGTCGATGTTTGATGTCAAACGATATCCGATGGATCTGAGCCACAACTTCGAGGAAAACTCATACTGTTATATAGACGAACAATCCTCGCATCAATGCAAGCGAATTTTGTAAACATACATTGAAATGCTACGCAGATGGACGCGTGGCACATAAACCCCGCCGTATCGTGCTCCAAAGGGCGTATCTCATATGCCCTCCTCCTCCTCCTCGTCGCCGGACACCTCCTGGTTTTCGAGCGCGGCCTTTTGCATGAGCTGTGCAAGGTCTTGGTCTTCGGTCTCGGACACCGCTTTCGGCTGTCGTTGGCATCAGCAAGTGAGTATGACGGACAGAATCAGATGATATCAAGAGAGAAAGACATACCTTCATCTTCACGACGAGCGACCCTCCCTGGTCCTCGATCGTGTGCTGTATGCTCTCAATGGCGCGTTCTAACCGGTCAACGGCCGAGAACTAGATATCCCGACGAAGTCGGTCAAGGCCCATGTTTTTCGGGTACGTGGCTTGAACGCGTACCTTATCCGTCGCGTTCGTGCTGAGAACGTACAATGGCGGAGCGACGAGCTTGGCCTTGATCGGTACCGCCTGGCTGCTCACCTTCTCGCCCGCCTTGAGAGCCTTCTTGATCGCGTCGATACCGGCCGGGGTGTAGCATGTCAGCTCGATGTCAGCCCGGAGCTTGATCGGCTGCGGCGTGAGCCGACGCGCGATCGTCGCCATGAGTAGCTTGAGCGTGCTTTCGGGGACGGGCTCGGGGAGGGAGGAGAACACGGTGTCCTGTTCGCTAAAACGAAACGGTTAGGAATGACGACGCTATGGACTTGGATACTGACGTTAGCGCGAGCTTGAAGGCATCATAGGGGTGGCCGTATGTCTTTCCTAGAGGCCACGCGATCTTATCGTACAGTTGTTCAAGTTTTTCTTCCTCGTTCGCCACACCGACGGGGTCTTCCGGGCCAACGGGCTCGGTGTCGTCCTCACCCGCCGCCCTCTTCGCTCGCCGCGCGCGCTTCGACTCCTTCGCCGCCTCCGCCGCTTCCTTATCGTCCAGTTCAGGAGCTGCCGCGCCATTGGCATCTCCCGAAGGCAGCTTGGTCGCGACGTGGCGGAGGATGGACGCGACCGTCTTGGACTTCATGTAGCGCTCTTCGCACTTGATGATATCTTCGGGCGACACTCGGCGTTTTGAGAGATCGATGTATCCTGGATTGAAATCTGAATATCGGGGGCGGAGGATGAGGGGATCGGATGTGACGAGCCTTTTTCTTTGTCCACACGAAGTACCACGACCACCTCGTTCCTGCCGACTCGGATGAGCTTCTGGATAGAACGTATACGTCTCCGGGAAAGCTCAGAGAGCAGTATCATTCCCTCAATGTTGTCGTATTCTAGCTGGCGACCAAGCGTAGATGGAATCAAGCTCGGTGAGTTTTTGGTGATGCGATTTATATGCGACCAGCGTACCAGCTTCACGTACGCGCCCATCTCGGCAATCTGGCGCACTTGCACCATGACGAGCTCGTCAACCTCTGGATACCGTTGTTCGTAGTACCGCATCGTGAGCGAGGAGGTCGTCGGGGTCGGTGGAGGGCGATGAGATGAGAATGCCGAGTCAGACTCGAACGTTATCCGGACCTGCAACTGATCTTGATCAGATGTTCTACCTTATTCGGAGTCCCACGCTCAGATACATTCTACTGACTGTGGGAATACTCTCATCAATGGCGAACACTTAATTCTGGATCCGTCTGTCATATTTTTTCGATGCTCAATGCATAAGGCCACTTTGAACATATGTAGGACTTGCTGCCTCGCGCGCCGTCGAGAACGGAGCGAGCACTGACCAGCGGCTTCACCGCGGGGACCATTGACTGAGTCACGCGGAGGAGGCGGGAATTTCCAAATTTGTCTTAGGCCGGCGCGTCAATAGCGACCGTCGGCCTTTACGTCGACGACGTGGTGTTCCAAACTCTCTGCTCGTCTATTCCTCGGGGTCAGCAGACGAGCACGGGGCACTCCAGGGCTGCCGTATAAGAATCAAGTTCTAACATTGACCGCCTATCTTTGCACTACGCTTTATTTGGCCTTCTCATGCGGATTTGCTCCGACAATCATCGCGTACGCGGCGACCGAATCAATGAGATTCGAGGCGATCCTCTTCAACTCTCTTCGACATAGGTAATACATGTTTACCGGGCCACAGATTAGCCATGCTCTACGGGCTTGCTCCGGTGAAACGATATATGGGATGCGACCTCGTAAAGTCCCACACGCTGCAACTGCACTTTGAGGGCAATCTTTGATAACTTTCGGTTTCAAGGAGATGTAATCGAATACGGCGCACTGTTGTCGGGCGCTGAAGGTGCGCTTGCGTCACGAAGGACGGCATCGGCGTAAACCTCGGGTCGACACCGAAGCTTCTACCCTGCTGCTCGGGTCGCCTGTATCCATGTCAGTGGATATAGCTTTCCCATGCTTCGAGAATTGCCTTGAACTGATTCTTGTAGCTACTTTTGGCCACACTCCGATGTTCACCCTCCCCACCCGCTGCAAGGGACCGCCCGCCCTCTCATCCCGAACGCCGGACAGATTGCTTCGTCTCCAACCCCGTCAATCCGACTATGCATGCCCCTGATGAGTTTACCCCGGACATTTCCCCGCACGCTCTTTGGTCTCGTTTCGAAAGCGTATAAAAGATGGCACGCTCGACGTCGTTTCACCTCACCGGTCTACCCAACCAGGCAATCAGCAGCAATGTTCCGCGCCGCAGCCCTCGTCTCCTTTGTCTTCCTCGCGACCGTGTCTGCCCAACAAGCCGGCACGTCCACCGCGGAGACCCACCCTGCGCTCTCGTACCAAACTTGCACCGCTTCCGGTGGATGCTCCACCGTGGCAGGCAGCGTCACTCTTGACTCCAACTGGCGCTGGGTTCACAACGTCGGCGGCTACACCAACTGCTACACCGGTAAGGACAAACGATTTACGTTGACATTGACGTTTATGCTCATCCTTGAGTTTAGGTAACGAGTGGGACGCAACCCTCTGTCCCGACCCAGAGACGTGCGCGACAAACTGCGCTCTCGACGGCGCCGACTACTCCGGCACCTACGGCATCACGTCCTCCGGCTCCGCGCTCACCCTCGCGTTCAAGACCGGCTCCAACGTCGGCTCGCGCGTCTACCTCATGAAGGACGAGTCTACCTACGAAACGTTCAACCTGCTCAACAAGGAGTTCACCATGGACGTCGATGTTTCCAAGCTCCCCTGCGGTCTCAACGGCGCCGTCTACTTCTCTGCCATGTCCCCCGACGGTGACACCTCGTCGACCAACACCGCCGGCGCCAAGTACGGTACCGGCTACTGTGACTCGCAGTGCCCGCGCGACCTTAAGTTCATTGAGGGCAAGGTATGCTGGTCTCCCCTCATGTATCGTGCCCCAGTTTCTGATAAACCCCCCTTTTTTCTTCAGGCCAACCTCATTGGCTGGAACGGCACCTCCGCTAACTCCGGCACCGGTTCCACCGGCGCGTGCTGTACCGAGATGGACATTTGGGAAGCCAACTCCATCTCCGAGGCCGTCACTCCCCATCCTTGCGAGGGCACCAGCATCACCGCCTGCACCGGCGACGAGTGCACCTCGACTTGTGACCAGGCCGGGTGCGACTTCAACTCCTTCCGTATGGGCAACACGTCCTTCTACGGCCCGGACATGATCGTCGACACCACCAAGCCTATAACCGTCGTCACCCAGTTCCTCACCAACGACAACACCACGACCGGCACCCTCTCCGAGATCCGCCGCATCTACGTCCAGAACGGCAAGGTCATCCAGAACTCGCAGTCGACCATTCCCGGCGTCACCGGTAACTCGATCACCGACTCGTGGTGCGCGGCGCAGAAGACCGCCTTCGGCGACACCAACACCTTCCAGCAGCTCGGTGGGCTCGAGCAGCTCGGCAATGCGTTCGCGAAGGGCATGGTCCTCGTCCTCTCGATCTGGGACGACTACGCCGTCAACATGCTCTGGCTCGACTCTGACTACCCGACCACCAAGGACGCGTCCTCTCCCGGTGTTGCCCGCGGTACCTGCTCGACCTCCTCCGGTGTGCCCGCCCAGGTCGAGGCCAACGGCGCCAGCATCTCGGTCACCTACTCGAACATCAAGGTAGGCGACATCGGCTCGACGTTCTCCGCAACCGGCTGTAAGTCGTTTGCCGCATCGACTTTACAATTCCCCTCTGACCACGCTCACTCGCAGCTTCCACCGGTTCGTCAGGATCCGGCTCCACCGGCACCACCACCGCCCCGGCCGGCTCTTCCCCGACCGGCGGCAGCGGCAGCGGTGGTTCCGTCGCGAAGTACGGCCAATGCGGAGGCACAGGTACGCTATAGATCATTGCCTTCGAGGGCGCTTCCTAACATTTTTCGTCTGAAGGCTTCACTGGACCGACCTCGTGCGCGTCTGGCTCGACCTGTACCGTGTTGAACCCCTGTGAGTCGCCTCTCCATGCCATTTCCGGGTCTATTCTGACGAGTCTGTCCCACAGACTACTCGCAGTGCCTCTAAAAGTCTCGAGATCGGGTCGCTAGAGTGATTTGGATGGCTCCTCTCCTTATGATGTATACTATTGGGTCTTGAATGACACAGTGCTTATGGCTATCCTTCCGCACTATGCTCCGTGCAGCGCAAGATGAAGTCTACCATCGCGAGTTACTCATGCTCGCCTTTGAAACGCGTGATGTCACCGCGCTTTGTGCCGCCGTTGACCGCAACGACATCGACCCTACGGTTGCTTCAGGTGGGTACCCTCTCTCCGTTGACTTGATTCTTGAGCTTGCCCATGCCGACCGGACTCGGTATCCCGCAACGCCATGACCCCTAAGTTCACCATCTGCTGATACTACACGGCCCTGATCGAACATGGCCTTATTCGATATCGATACTCATATTGTCGCCTGCAGTGTTTTGGCGAATAGATGGAACTGTCCAGAGGCCGCCGTTCATTCGTGAATGTCTCAACGCTCGATCTCGAGCATGTATAGTGAGTTCGAACGCAGCGTCAGACCCTTGTGCTAGTACACACGCTAAGTTCCCGAGTTCTTCACGGCAAGCGCAAACGCAGTTGACCTAAGATAAGGTGGACATGCATTCGAACAATATATATATTAGAATCACAAGCAACCCAATGAGGGCCTGAAAGCAGGACAAACAAAAAGCACAGGAACATCTTCGGGGGCCATACTTCATAGTACATGCAACGTTTGGTTGAATCACAGAAACGAAAAATAAACGCAAGCTAATACTATATCTCACAACCTTTTCAGCTGATCGTCTTGTAGCTCCCTAGTGACATCGACCGCGTTAGCCAGGGTAGGAACCCTCAGTTGGTCATGCTACTCACATATACGGGCCTGCCAGTCACCGCTGCCGCTCGCTATCATGCCGCCCTGCGGGTTGAGGTCGATTGATATCACTGCAGGCACGGTAGCATTGATAAGCTCCCGTATGTATAGGATTCCGAAGGTGTAACCGTACCAGAGTTTTTATGCCCTTGCAACATAAGCTGCACCGTCGCCGTCCTCGCGTCCCAAAACTGGACACCGCGATCCTTCGACCCGGACACGACCCACTCCCCGTCCGCAGACACCGCGACAGACAGCACGTAGTCCTTATGTCCCAAAAAGTTCATCGTGCACTGGCTGCCCTTCTCCCCTCCCTCCTTCACGTCCTTCAGCGCCTTCTGCACCGCCGGGCCGCCCCTCGGCACGTTGCGGATGTCCCAGTACTTGAGAGTCTTGTCCAAACTGCCCGAGACGAGCCCCTTCCCGTCCGGCGTGAAGGCGACGGAGTAAACCGAATCTTTATGGCCGCGGAGGCGCTCGACGAGCTGGCCCGTGTTCACGTCCCAGATGCGGACGATGGTGTCTAGCGAGCCCGCGGCGACGAGGCGGCCGTCCGGGGACATGGCAACGGAGGTGACGCCGGCGTCGATCGAGTCCGGTTCGTTGATAGCGAGTAACTTGGTGAGCGAGCCGCCTGTGCCTGTGCAAGAAGGATGCTGTGAGCACACCCGCGTCACGGATTTAGGTAACACCCGCGAACTCACTCGGGGTTCCGTTGGAGTCGACCTCCATATCCCATATCCGAGCCGTCTTGTCTCCGGAGCCCGACACGATCAGCCGCCCGTTGCGCGAAAATTCGAGCGAATAGATCTCTTGCTCGTGCCCATCAAAGATGTTCCGGATGCGCTTCTTGGCGATGTCCCAAATCTATGGCACCATTAGCACTACTCCTACAAGGCGAGACAAGAGCACCTACCCGAATCTGCTTGTCTTCGGCACCAGTCGCTAGGTATTTGCCATCCGGGCTGAAGCACACACTCCGGATATACAAGTCGCCCTGCTTGCTAGCATTCTCGTCCACCAGAACACTAGACGCCCTCTCATCAGTCCCAGTCACCTCAAGTGGGAAAAAAGTCCAGCTAACCAAGTCTTGGCACCGGTCTTGACGTCGTAGATCTGCGCCGATCGGTTACACCCCGTCGCGAGGTACTTGCCGTCATGCGAGAATCGCACGCAGCACACCACACTGCGATAGACAGGCACCGTCAGCATCTCCATCGCATTACATCGCGCAAACAGCGAGTGGGAAAAAAAAAAGTACCTCTCGTGATAGAGCGTATGTACCAAGTTGACGTCCAACACGCGCTTCACCTTAGGGTTCCACACCGCGAACCAGTCGCTGCCCTCCTGCAAACCGAACAGTGCCATATTAGCAACCAAGAAGCGATTCGGCCATCAGGGGTCATACCTTCTTCAGCTCGGGAGGGATCGATCCCGGGCTCAGCGTCATAGGGTCTACCTCGTCAGCCGGCGCTGCGCCCGGTCCACCAGGAGGGGGAGGGGGAACACCAGAGCCAGGGTACCCAGGTCCACTCGGCACACCTATCCCAAGGCCATATTCATTAGATCCCTGTGCCAGAAAACCCTCACGGAACATCAAGAGGACGACGTACCGGCCGAAGCACCAGCTGGAGCAGCCGAAGGCCCCGCAGATGCGGGCACCCCCGCCGTCGACAACGCAGGCGAATACCCTTCTAAAGGATGAAAAAAAAAATCGTCATCAGCACCCCGCTCCACGATTGCCCAGCCTCAGACAGACCTTTCGCCCTCACGTCCCTCTCCGTCTTCGCCCTCTTCAACTCGCGGTCGTCCCGCTCGCGCTCCCTCTCCCGCTGCTCCCGGTCACGCTCGCGCTCCCTATCGCGCTGCTCCCTCTCGCGTTCTCTCTCCCTCTCGCGCTCCCTTCCCCTCTCGCGCTCGTCCCTTCCCGGCTGTGGCGGCAGCTGCGGCTGCGACTGCTGAAACCGCGCCGGGTCGCCGCTCACGAGCCGCATGTCCCGCTCCGCGCGCTCGCGGTCCGAGAGCGTCAACCGCGCGTCGCGGTCCCTGATAAAGCAACCAAAAAAAACAAAATCACACACTGATCGTCAGCATCCGGTTATGGCCGAAACGCAAGAGCGAAAAAGGGGGATGTCAACGAGCAAGCAAGAATAAAAAGACCGGGGAAAAAAATAAACGCGAGGGAATGTCGAACGAGAGGAAATATGACAAGGAAGCGGCCACCTACCGGTCCATCCGCGCGTCCCGTTCGCGCATTTCGCGATCCCGTTCACGTTCCCTGTCGCGATCCCGCTCACGGTCCATCCTTCCGTCGCGCATGGTGACGTCCCTGTCCCTCTCTCTCTCCGCCAGCCTGATCTCGCGGTCGCGGTCGCCTAACGAAAAAGAGTGTATAATCAGGACACAAAGCTCCCCCCTATGCCCTCTCTCTCTCCAACTAGACGAGGAGAGCGAAGGACAAATAACTCACGGGGCATATAATTCTCGGGCCCAGGGACAGGAGGGAGACCAGGGTAGCCTCCCGGTCCAGGTCCGCCTAACCCGACGGGACCGGGTCCTCCTGGACCGGTACCTGGCGTACCCAACGGCCCTCCAGGTGGCGCCGACAGCCCAATGGGGGGTAGTCCGCCGGGGCCGGGCGTGGGGGCGCCCGGACCGGAGATGGACGGTGGCCCACCGGGGAGGCCGGGAACGGATGTGGGTGGACGCGAGGGGTCGAACTGACGAAAAGAAGGGGCGACGCGTTAGAGAAGAGGAAACGGTGGAAGAAACGTGATCGACGTACGCGATCGCGGCCGTCGCGGTCGCGCGAGAAGTCGGCGAGGCCGAGGCGGGCGTCGATGCGGCCGTCCATGCCGCGCCCGTCGAGTCCGCGCCCGTTGATCTCGGCCGAGCGGGCATCGAGCGAAGAGAGCCTGAAGTGCGTCGCATCTGAGTGAGATGCGCGGCGATGACTGCCGAGACGACGTACCCTGGGCGCCCGTTGACGTCGCCGCGGTCTAGGCCGAGGCCGATGCCGCGCTCGCGCGGGTCAAGCTGGCCGTTCCGGAGGGCATCGACCTGGGCCCGCAGGCGCCCGAGCTCGTCTTCGTACTGCTGGCGGATCTTGCCGTGTTGGGCCTCGAGGTCGTACAGCGATTGGCGGATGATGTTCAGTTCGTTGACCTGGGATGTCACTGGAAAGGTACCGGACACGTGTCAGGATAGGTGCTTCTTTGAAAAGCCAATGGAAGTAGAAGGAATGAAGGGAGAGGCAAAGGGATAGATAGCATGTGCGCCACATGTCCGAATCGGGCAACGCTTGTCCCGTTATGGTATAGGGGAAAGAAGAGGCGAAGGAGCCACACCTTTGGAGTCGTACTCGTCCCGCTGGCCACGGAGGAGTTCCGCCTCGCGCGATAGCCCGTCGAACTCGTTCCGGATGGCTTCAAAGTGGGCGTCCAAGCGCGAGCCGGGCGCGCTCGGTGGACCCGTCGGTTGCAGCGACCGATGCTGATCGCCCATTGTACGAAGTTAGCGCCCCCCGAGTTTCGGTTCGAGCCGGGTCGGTGGAAAGAGGGTCTCACGTTGTAGATGGAGGACGACATGTCGGGTCCTCCTGTCGTCCTGATGTTGTGGGTGCGGTGAAACGACGACGAGGGAGACGGTGTGCGTGGTAGTGGCGACGGGGAAAAGGGCGTGCGGAAGGGAGGAAGACCGAAGCCGCGCCCCCCCAGTCCGGAGCCCAGCTTATATCACCCGGCAACCAAAGAAGGGGCAGGCTTCGATGGCTCGCACGCCGAAGTCCTTCTTCTGGGTCGCCGGTCGGACAGATCGTCGCGGAGCTCGAAACTGACCACGACCCAGCGCTGTGGATCTGGTTCACACACTGTTCCTTTATCCAACTTCGGCAACGACCGCAACTCTGGCAGATCCCCGCAAGGCCGCTCCCAACGGAAGTGATGCCCACGCGCACTCTCTTCGTGCCTCTCAGATCTCTGTGAACCTCGGTCCGGCGCCGCGGGGACAATGGCAGTCCCAGATATCCAAGCGTTCGTGGGATGCATGATGGCTCGCAGGCTCAGCACGAAGGTTTAAGCTCGAATCTACGCCGGACCATTTGCCCGTGTATTCATTGTTCAGATTCCCTGCGCACGAGGATGGCTATGTATACTTCGTGTCTATCAATCTCCTTCCTTATCCGGGGCGTCAGCCAGAGACATGAGGTGAGGCGTGGGCATTCCTGCTCCATCATGAGGCATGCATTCGTTTCATACTTTAACGGCAGAAGGTGCTATCATCTGGACCTCTTGTCTCTCGCGTTCTTGCTGGAGAAGTAAGGCCGTCGCTGCGCTTTTCCAGATTAATGACGCGATGACGACCACGAACAAAGGGAGAAGCGAATGACATACGATATGGAAGAAACGACCAAAAATACAAGGCGTCTTGTCGAATTAAGCCCTCTTCTGCTTCGCACCCTCTCCTTCTAGAGCCAGCCCGGATTGCCAACGGTAGCCGGCATTCTCTCATCACTGTCATATATAGCCATCGCGCGTCTGTCCCGTCCATCTTACAAGACAAAAGATGGGATAAACAGCGAATTGCCAACATGCGGCTGTGTGTTGCCATTCCACGAGAGCCTGTCTAGAACAACCTGTTGCCCTTTCTTTTCATCTACGGAGATTGCGCGAGTAGGGCATCCGAGCTCCTTGCCTCTATCATCGATTCCTCGTGGGCGGCGAATCGCCCAGAGGTAACCGCCTATTTCTGCAAAATGGCACGTGACTAACTGAACTCTCTCTTCGGCCTATGTCGCCTCCGAGTCCCTTTCTTCGGCTTCGACGGACGGGTCGCACTGGCGTTCGTATATACCACTTATTCATGCAAAACAACCTGGAAACCCACAATCATCCGAGCTCGACCTTACCCAGACTCCCGAATGACTGAACATATCACGAACGCATCATGATCAAGGAGCCGTCCGCCAACGCGGGCGTCCACGGCGAACGAGATTGTGAACCTTCTCTTGCCTCACGCCTCTGTGCCGCGAAGGGCACTAAGATAGACGATGCTCGACATACTCGATGTGACGATTGAGAAGCACGCATAACCGAACGTCCTGCGACGCGTAGAGATACCTGCGTCCATGCTGACAACCATTGTTACCGCGACATATCACTGCGACATAGCGCCCTGGACGACAACAAGTTTGAAGAATACGCATTCACCTCTGAGGACACAATAACATCTCGTCCCCTCCACTTTTCAAACTTTCGTCGCATGGCCGCCATGTCCTTCTGACCCCCCACGCATTGATCCATCTTCACGAACGCCAGTCACGAGAGCGAACGTTACGACCCGGCCCGTTTCGCCCACTTGGACCACCACCTGTAAGGCTGTCATGCTACTCATCGCTTCCTAGCCTTTCCTGAACCCCATCGTCTTGTACTAGTAGCCCACCCGGCGGCGTATGCTCGGCACATCCCCATCATGCCTCGTTTCGCCGGCCCCAGTCACCGGGTTCCCGCCTCGCCTTCTACGACCTGCCTGTCTCCGCCTCGCCTCGCCTTCTCGGTCTCGGTCAATTGACCCCGATATTCGCGTAAATGTGACCTGGCGATGGCGAGCCTTCATAAGGCGGGTCGCGAACCGAGGCGAAGACGTCCTCAGCTCTCCTGTGCGACACGTTCATTCGCTCAGAAGCTCGTCGCCCGCGATGAAGGGCACGCATATACTCGCCTCCGCCGCTCTTCTAGCTCGTGGAGCGACCGCCCTGAACAACAGAGGCGTCGCTAAAACACCCGGTGAGTTACCTTCGCCGCCCTTCCTCTGAGCGCTCCGCCGACTCACTCACTGCGCAGTGATGGGCTACAACGGTACTGCAGATCCATTCATTACCCTGTCTTCGTCAGAGCCTTGACGCACGATCTTCCCCGATTAGCATGGAACGCGTTCCAATGCAACATCAACGAGGACCTCTTCCTCACCACAGCCAACCTGATGGTCTCCCTCGGACTCAAGGTACAGCTCCTTTTTAAACGATCGCTTCCTCCTCGTGCTCCATGTAATGGCGCTGGCGTGTAGGACGCCGGCTACCACTATATCAACCTCGACGACTGCTACGCGCTCAAGAACCGCACGTCGAGCGGGGCCATCGTCGAGGGTATATGTCACGGATCATTGCGCTTCCGACTCGACTACTGAATGGGTTCGCAGATCCGGCCAAGTTCCCGAGCGGGATGCGCAGCCTGACGGACAAAATACACGCAATGGGATTGTGGGCGATTTCCGTGTTACTTGTTGTGGCTATCGCATTGATGAGCAAAAACCGACAGCAAAGCGGGAATCGTGCGTACATTCAAATTCACGACGTTGCTGGCTCGGCTCACCGCTGTTGCTCTTTCCGTAGTACGGCGACTCGGGATGGTATACCTGCGCCGGCTACCCCGGTTCGTTCCAACACGAAGCTCAAGACGCGCACACCTTCTTCGACGAGTGGAACTTTGATTTGCTCAAGTGAGTCAAACTTCCCCCGCTATTCATTCTCGTCAGATGACTGATAGCTGGACCTCAGGTTTGACAATTGCGCCAGCAAGTTCTCGTATTCCGTTTGTACGATGGAAGGGGCTGACGTTGATGGTACCAGTTCCGTACGACGATATCATCCGGCAAGGTATCATAGGAAGTAGGTCTCATCTCGATGGAACAGAAAGATAGAATCGGCGCTGACCGCCGTTCTGACCAGAGTACCAGCGCATGGCTGACGCGATCGCGAAGGTCGCAAGACCGATCGTGTTTTCCCTCTGCGAATGGGGTTGGGTCCGTTTCCTTACACCACGCCGTCGCATGATTTCGGCTCACCCGTCTTCCCGCTCACAGAGCCAGGTCTGGCTGTACGTCGACTAGGATTTCGTCGCTGAACCTGAACACTCATGCATTGTGATAGATGGGGAGCCAAGCTGGGACAGAGTTGGAGGGTGTGTAGCTTCGGTTCCTCGACCCCGGGAGTACGCTAAGCTGCTACAACAGACCACGGGTGATATCGGCCCCGACTGGCCCAGTCTCGCCAACATCATCAACTTGTGAAATGCCTATCACCTTACTTTCGTCAGCCCGTCGTCTGATACGATGTAATAGCAACGCCTTTATCACCCAAGCTACGAACTTCTACGGACGGAACGATATGGACATGGTGCGTCCCAACCTCTCGCGAGCGTAGACCTTCGTTTCATGCAGAATCCATAGTTGCAACTGTAAGCGTCCGGCCAGCAGGAAACTCGCATGAAGAACTCATTTTTGCTCGCCAGCGGAAACGGCGGGCTCACGTACGACGAAGCGAAGTCGCACTTCACCGCGTGGGCGCTAATGAAGTGGGTTTTCGTCGGCCTCACCCTCGTAGTTCCATGTCTAACATTCTGTAGATCGCCCTTGCTCATCGGAACAAACGTACGAACCACTTCGCTTTTTTTTCCCCTGCGACCTTCTTTATTGATGTTGTACTCAGCTATCCGCAATCACGAACGACGTCCTTGGCATACTGAAGAACAAGGAAATCATCGCCATCAACCAGGATCCGGTGGTGGGAGAGAGTATATCCCCGTTCAGGTCCGTTCACCTCTTGACTCTCTCACTGATTTTCTCAGCATCTGATCGGACTTGTACATCACAGATGGGGCTCCCTTGTGCGTTCCTTCTCGGGAGCACCATGTTCGCTTGGGTTTTGATGATACATGTCAGGGCGACTATTTTTCTAGCATCAGCAGCGACTACCCTCCTCAGTATTGGAGCGGCGACTCTCAGAACGGGACCGTGTTCATGCTCGTATGCACCTCGATAATAAACCCGTCCACCTATGCTGACGTGTCGACATATAAAGCTTAACACCTTGAACGAGACTGCCGACATGTCCTTCAACCTCACCGAATCGCCCTGGATTCGCGCCGGTCGGAAGTACTCCGTTCGTGTATGTACAACCACCACCGCTTTCCACCAGGTTTCGACGTCTCATGGTTATATTACCGCTGCAGGATCTATGGACACACACCGAAAATGGAACGGCTGTGCGTAACTTCACGGCAAAGGCGGTCCCGCCGCATGGCGTCGTCGCGCTCCTACTCAAAGACGCCGGAGACGAGCCCGACGGCCTCTACCCGGCATGCTCGGTGTGGTATCAATGCATCGATAAGAATGGGACGCATGTCGGGGGGTGATTGATAAGATTCAGCTAGATCGCCGGCCACGAAAGACAAGTGCAGCGGGGCGATTCAGGAATTCCATACGTTCTGGTGTGAGGCGTACGACGTTCCGATTCGGTGTTCTCAAGCCTCCTTTGCCGTTCGCGAATATAAACGAGGATGGCGAAATGTTGCGCTCCCATTCCTTCGAGACACTTGTGCAGATAATCCTTGACCTGTTTCATGAATTTGCAGTGAATTGGGACTTTTATTACAACATGAAGTTCGATTAGCGCGCGATGGCTGTTGACCGCAAAGCAAGCGCCGGCTCCATGCTATATGAGGATGCACTTGCGGCTCCATGGCTCTTGTCTTTCCCCCTCGCCCTGGCGTGTCACCCTCCGTGCGTTTGTAAACTCTTGACGGCTTGACACTCCCGCTCGGACATTATGCCACATCTCGTGCCCGAGGGCTCCGGGAGCTCGAGAAAGCGAGTCGCATCTGCCGACCTTGATGACGCAGATCGTCGAGTTCGATCTTCGGGGCTAGGTGAAAAGCTTCACGTCAAAAGCGAGCAAGCATCGATCGAGCTATCCGTAGCCTTCGACGCAGACTCTGGTGAGTGGCCGGAGCTTAGCCACCCGCGGATGTTTGGCTGAAAGATTGCACACCAGGTATAGAACGATGGCCAACCAGCACCCAGGAAGATCAGGGAGAAGACAAGCTTACTAAGTCGGAGGTAGATGTAGTTTGGATCGACGAGGACGTCGAGCACAGCACTCTGCGTAGGTTTAGTATACTAGGCTCGGTGCCCTGAAGGTATCGAATGTCATGTAGGTTTGCAAGACCTCCAAGCGGAAACTATACAGACCTTGGAGCTGTGCTCTGCAGCAACACTCGTGTGTCCAGTGCGTTTCTGCATTTCTGCTGTCGTGATGAATCTTGGAATAGGGTCGATACTGATGGCTCTTGTCTTTCAGAATCTTCTGGCTACACTCAAGGACGAAATCGCCGCATCAAACAACATGGTCACGGACGTCAAATTGACCGCGTACGTACCGCACAAGCACCGTTCATGCACATGTTCACGTGTTTCCATATAGCCAATTGTCTCAAATAAAAGAGTTTCTCAGGCAAAGTCGCTCGAAAGAGCTTCTCTTCAGCCTCGTCAATTACCATCGTTTCCGTGACTGGCTGGGATCGGTATTGTCAACCGCTTCTCAACAATCGCATCCGTCCTCATCGTTGTTTCAGATCTCTACACAACTCGGCTTCATGGAGAATGTGGCGGTGACCGAATCCATGCATCGTGATGGACTGAAGGTGGTGCATGAAACGCAACGCATCATTATGGATCCTGCTTGGCACGACAGTATTTACGGACTTCGCGGAGAAGGGGCAAACAGTTTTCTTAATCTGCTACAGGAGGTATGACTCCATACTTCGTCGCAGACCTCCGTTGCTCAGTCTGTAGCTCCTAGATCGATCAGGACCCTTCCGTCGGTGGGACCAATCGGAGATGAAAAGTACCCACCCCAATTACGATGAGGCGGAGATGATGAAATGCGCACGACAAATGATCCTAAAGCTATCCGTCGTAAGCGACACCATACCGTCCTCCCTCTTTCTCAAACGGGTCTTTTGCTCTATGGAACGAGCAATTGGCAGGGGGGCGTATGCCGATGTCTACTGCGGATCTTACGAGGAACAACCTATTGCATTGAAACAACTCAGGATCTTTGGAGATTCCGAGCCATCGCAACCCCATAAAGTACAGATTCCGTCGACCCCAGTAGCAGCTGCCCAAATACTGACCACTCAACAACAAAGGATCTGTATCGAGAAGCCCTACTATGGCGTCAGCTCAGACACCCTTGCATACTCCCATTTCTGGGACTGTATGAGGACACGCATGCAAAGGATCTGTGCATGGTCTCCCCTTGCATGTCAGGTGGCAGCCTTCTAGACTTTGTGAAGAAGTTCGTGGTTGAAGTAGATGTTGTCAACCTTGTGGGCTTTTTTTCTGCTTGCCCTCATGGAATGCGATATTTACCGGCTATTTTCAGCTCATAGACGCGATCGGGGGTCTTTGTTACCTCCACGATCAATCTTTTGTTCACGGAGATTTGCGAGCGGTACGTAGGCAGTTGACGAGAAGGCAATCAACGAGCGGGCACCTTCATTGATTCATAATCACCTTTGCAGGCCAATGTTCTCATCGATGAGCATGGTCGTGCATACCTTGCAGACTTCGGTCTCATCTCCTTCATCGAGAATTCCAGCATCACCACCCAATGTCGCGGCAACGCGCTGTGGAAGGCACCCGAACTTCTTCAGGGGGAGTTGCAACGTACCCCTGCCACTGATATTTATTCTTTGGCATGTCTATGTTTGGAGGTGGGCGTGCAAGTTCAGATACGACACGTGTCACTAATTATCAAAATACTCAGCTCATCACGCTTGAGAATCCCTTTGGGGGCATACCTGAGACTGTCGCCGTCATTAAGGTGTATCAGGGCATCCGCCCCGAGCGCCCTCAAAACATTAAAGTACCTCTGCGGATTGGAGAAGACGATCTATGGAACCTGATAGAGGCATGCTGGCATCAGGATCCTCACCAGCGACCGATGGCCAAGGATGTCCTGGAAAATCTACCTCCGTATCTTCCCTCGAAGCTTCATTCACGGATACCGTCTCCCGTTCCGACCCGCGATCCCGCCTTGGGAAGAAGACATAAGTGTCAAGTGTGTGGGAAGTCCTACCAAAGGCGATCCTCATTACGAGATCACATGAACATACATGATGGCCTCAAACGTGCGTAGCTTGATGCTCACACCTCGTTGCCCTCTCACAGGTGTTAAAGCATATCAATGTTCCTTCCCCGGTTGTATGCAAGCCTTTTCCTCGAAGCCCGCCTTAAATAGGTATCACCCTATTCCGGATATGTTTGACTAATCGTCCTCTAACGTAGCTTGGCTGCCAGGCACTTTCACCGGCATCCGGTTCCGGGCAAGAGTCATCGCAAGGTGGGTTTGAAGCTTGTGATCCCCCAAGCTAGCCAATGCTTGATAGAGGCCATACGGGCTGTCAGTATGTGACTCTTATGTACTGATGATACCGCGCAGGAGGGCCCCGGATGGTTCGCGGATTGGAACCCAGAAGTGAAGTGCACGTTGGATGTGGACTTGATGCATACATTTATCCACTCGGAGTCCGTTTTGCGCCTTTTAACGAGGTGATGTAATATAGATGTTGACAGTGTTTTTTTTTTTTGTCGCAGGGCTGTGTTCTGCGTGCGCTTTTCGCATGATGGCAAGTACTTTGCTACCGGGCATAGCACATCGGTACGTATCTACGACGTGGGGACAGGTGCCGAAACTTGGTGAGTCATAATTTCTTCCCTGTGGAGGTCATGAACAGGTGCTGATGAGAAAGCGCATAGTGTTTTGGAACATGACACAAAACATGACACAACCCCTCCCAGTGCGTGCTTCAGCCCGGATGACAAGTACCTCGTGACATGTGGATATCACGAGAACATCTTCGTATGCTACTTCTATGGGCGCTTGACGAGAGGATGTTCAACAGTGTTGCAGCTCTGGAACATTGCCGAGAAGAGCGTACGCAGTGTCTGCAGAAACTCTAAAGGGCCATTTTTTTTGCTTGCGTTCTCCCCCAACGGGAAATTCCTCGTGTCCGGCTCAAGGAGTGGGATAGTCCAAATATGGGACGTGGAGGTTAAATCCGACGGATCGCTGAGTGAGTTCGCTGGTTTTGTCTATAGGTAATGTAGCGAGTGTTCATATCCCTTTTTCGCAGGCTTTGGCGACTGGCCCTCTGAGCTGTATGCAATAGAAGGATTAGGCCCGTACCGTGTCTACTTGGACTGCATCGCCATATCTCCGGACAGCCAACTCGTCGCCACCGGCTGCTCGGACGCCATCCGCATCTGGGACATTAACACGGGACAGCTCGTTAAGCGCCTTCGATACCCCTCTAATCGGTACTGCCCCGTCGCATTCACCCCGGATGGGAAGGGGCTCGTCTCCGGTAGCTCGGACAGAACACTTAAGTACTGGGACATCCGCAACGTGCCGAGGGGCGGACCGGAGATGAGGGAGGCTCTGATAGATGACAACGAAGGTGAAGAAGAGGGAACCCGGTGCAATATGACCTTTCTGGGGCACACAGATGTGGTGACTTCGGTAGCAGTGTCGCCGGACGGAGAGTGGATCTTGTCTGGATATTTCAATGATACGGTAAAGCTTTGGGATGCGAGAACAGCGACACTGCAGCTCACGTTGAGGGGACACAATAGCGGCGGTAGGTTACAATATATAGTATCTTGGGAAGATAGCTGATGTTTGCATTTGTGTGCAGTGAACTCTGTGGACTTCCACCCACAGAGCGGCATATTCGCGAGCAGCGACTACAGCGGGAACGTCCGTATATGTGAGTGCTTGATGTCTAGAACACTCGTGCTCGCTGACAAGGTCGGTGATGGTAGGGAACTACAAGACCATCCACTGAAGCTCTGCGAGACCGTGACCCTCTTCTGTCTGTAAAATATCGTGTGAACTCATCGTGATATACATAATGCATCCCTTATCCTGAGACCTGGTGTTATTGTGCTTCTTGAGTAATGTGCGTCGATGATGCATGCAGAGTCTCCCCGGAGCTGGCGGAGAGATTCACCGCGTGGATGGAGATCAACGGAAGTAAATGGGAGGTAGATACACGCTGTTCAGTGGAATGGTAGTGCATTCTGCGATATACTTGAATACTCAATATTCGATGTAAAGAACTTCACCCAAGACCATGGATGAAATCCGTTGCTGGTCTGATGACGTGCTATGGAATCACCGAGGACAAGGGCGGGGGCGTCCTTGTGTTTGTTCTGGCCTATGTAGACAAACGCGTGCAAATCACATTTCACCTCCAAAATGCGAGACGAGCGGTGCAATTATGTGTAGCCGCATGTCAACCAGCTCACACTGATACCTCAAGGCCTGCCTTTCACTTCAGGCGCTATATGCGCGATGTCCCCACCGAGTCTGGTAAAAATTTAAAAAAAATCTGTCCGGAACAGGCCCAAACTTGGAAAACAGCGATGCAGGTCCCGTAAGCGACGGTGCCGTCTCGAACTGGACCTTTACGGAGCCTACCTAAGGTCGAGGAAGTTGAGAGATGGAGAACCGGGAGATTCAGGCTGCGGTCAAATCTGACACTGTATCGAATCCTCGCGTTTTGGGGAGATCTTGGGCCGTCGTGTCTTGTACAGTAACATGGTCGCATACGTGGTTGACCACGTGCATCCACGACGTCGACATACGCCGTTACCGTGATGCGAAATTGTCGATGATCCCTCTTCGACAGCCCGTGCAGCGCCATGGCTTAGGTTTGTAGAAGGGTGACAACCCCGGCGAGGAGCTCTACTCAACGATCGGTACTTGCAGTGCCTGTGGACGAGAAGGGGCACGGTCATGTTCAGTGCCATGACGCTGCGGTATCCACTGCTAGTGAGTGCCCTGCTGGAGCCCGCAAGAAGCCACAAAGAGAGACTGACTTGACGCGACCGTAGGTCCATCGATGTCGTTGCGGTCGACGGCGAACATGACAGTCCTGTGGGCAGAGAGCGTGGTGATGTCATGCGTGCTGAATGCGAGCACTAGTGATCCCGGACTCAGCGCCAAATCTCGGCAACACGGAATACTACGCAGGCGGATAAGCACTTGTATAGGCAGGAGACGGGGCGAAGACGGCGACGTAGCGTATCCAGTCATCCACAAGTGGTGGTGATCGCGAAGAACATCATCGGGGTTTGTCCGCCGTGACTTGGTGGCTCGGGTCCGATGTTCGTGATCGACGACCATGACCTTACTTTGAACGTTCAGCGCTTCAGCTATGGGATGTCATCGATCCTTGCGCCCCCTGCAGTTTCGTTCAGCTCTGGACCCTGCATCAACTATCGGTCGAAGCCGCAGGCGGTGCGATGCACAGTGAGAAAGTCGACTTCATCCTCGTACAAGCGCGTGATGGCTGTTGTGCGCAGTCATCCTCCTCTCTGTTGCATGCGCACACCGACTCCCAGTACTTGTCTTCAATCCTACATAGGACAAACTGTGGAGGTATAGTGCCCTCTACGTATATCATTGTGCCATTTGGCTTTGGCCCCTTGATCGTGGGCTTAGCAGTCCATCGTCTGGAGTGAACTCATCAGCTTTCGGGCGACTACTGGAGATGATCCGGTAACTTTCGGGCCGGGCCCGTACCACGCCCACGCGTGGCACGGGGCAATGGCACAGCTGCATCGGTACCGTAGACGGGAGAAAGCGGTAAAACACGCTCAGTCGTCGGGAGACGCTGCTTTCGTCGCGTGGCTAACATGTTGCAACGGCGCCGGGAACGCTCAATGACGCAAGGCGCTTGCAATCCCTGAGTACGTGTCCTGCAATCGTCCGAGGCCAATGGTACGATGTATATTGAATCCAGGCACCTCCTAAGCGTATTTCCTCATTGCCCTAGCGCAATGGCGCATCGTGTGTACCTTGACTAGGCGAGATCGTATAGATTTTCTCGGAACAGAATTCTTCGGAGACTGGGAGCGTGGGCACTGACACGTGCCCCTTATAATCGCTGTCGCCTTGGCGTTGGCGAGGCCCAGGAACAGAAACGTCGAATCTTTCGTGCTAACAACACTCAGCCCGGCGACCCCGGCTACTATAGATCCTGCTGGGCGCAACACTTTCCGGTCTGCTACCATCGCTTTGTTCCGAAAACGGCAACCGCGGTCCCGGCGGTCCAGGGCGGAAGAACTCCCTCAATTATGTGTTACAGCCACGTTGATGTCTAAACTCTGATCAAGGCCTAAGGCACTTTCAGAAGTTTGCTATCTCACATACATTGGATACTCATGTGAACTACAGGTGAGCATGACATAGCATATGCCTAGCTCACTTCTCTAATATATACTGGTTACAGAAAGATGCACGCAATATTAATGATTTCTCGTAATCAATTTCCATTAACGCGCGGATCTGTTACTATGATGACGCCCTGCCCGGTACGGCCGTGGGCGCCGGACCGTCGATCATCTTGTGCATTCGACATCGAACAATCGAGAAGGCAATTTTCAAAAGCCATGTACTCGGAATCTTAGCAACGAGAGAAACCCATAGCTCCATGCTCGCCCGCCGGCCCGTGTCATGCTGGCGTGCGCGAGCAGATGATGCCTGGGGCGAATGCTGCGTACTCGCTTACCGTGCCTATCCGACGGGGAACTCGGAGAGCTCCTAGGATGTTCTCTCTGGAATGGCTCAGACCAACTCGAGCAACTCCCGCCTTCGTTGAGTGCGACGGATGTTCCTCAGTTAACGCTTTTGCCTCCGACGTCGAGCGCGCATGGTGCCCACGGGCTCCGCAGTGTCGACAGGGCGGAGGCTTCTGGACGCCTGGGCCATTTCCAAGTCGTCTCCGATTTCGAGCGCACGCGACGGCGGTCCCTGACGGATAGGCGCAATCGCGAAAGGTTCAAAAAGGCGGATAAGCATGGCATCCTACTACCCAACGTACCGGCAACGGCAGAAAGTCCCCTCCTTCGACTTCTAGGCACCTTAATCAAACCCCACGTTCTTTTCCGTACATACAATGAACAGTCGTTCATGGCGAGGCAAGCTCGTTCTCAGCGGCATGGCGAACTCTACAAGCGGTGGACCGCAAGAGCTTCGGGCCACCGTGGCAGAGACCAACGGCGACAGGTGAGCTACGGAACTTGAGATGCCAGCGTCAATCATACCAATTCATACCAGTAGCCGCTTGGAAGCTTGGCCCGCCCAGTTTCTTCTGCACATCTGTAAACGCACAGCGGTCTTGCAGGCGATGCAGATCTGGGTCGAACGCAACAATCCGCCGCTGTGCGCCTTCATGCCTGATCGCCACCCGGACCCGCAACTTCACAAGCTCAACCAGAGCAACTTTCGTTCTTTCTCCCGTCTTCTATCTGAGAACCAGCTGGTAAGCATGGCCTTTCCTTAGCCTTTCATGTCGCCGAGTACCAAACTGATGTCTTTTGTCCAGGTGGCCGTGACCACTTGGCAGTTAGACCCTGCGCTTCCCGAGTCCGGGGTCATTTTATATCCCGCTCCCTCCACTCCCAGCCTCCTCGTCGGCGTTATCTTTCCGTTTGGGGCTTTCCCAGACTTTATCACCGGTCGGTCCCCGACCGTATCACAACAGACGCCGAGTATCGGCTCATATCCATCATCCCAACAATACCCGGGTGCCACGCCCCAGTTCCCTGTGCATCCCACCGGCTATCAGCAGCTGTATCCCCAATACCCAGTCCATATGGACGTTCCCCTAGGCGAGGCTCAGTACGCCTTTATACCTGCGCAGACGAGCACTCAGCAATACCCCCATTCCGCGGACTCCTCGAGCTCGGACTCGTCCTGGCCCTCCACGAGCGACGGCTCGTTGCCCCCAGGCTACCAATACCCCCAGAACTAATGCTTCGCCAACCAACGCCATTGCTGTATCTGTATGCTATCATCGCTATCGCTCTTGTTGTGCCCCACTAGCTTCTTCGACCTTGTTTTTGCAGCTCGGTGTCATTGAGCTAGACGCGACGCAGAACCTATATCCACCTTGATATGTATAAGTAGTCAAGTTCCGAAAGCCTTGTATATGTAGCCTTGATCGATGACAATGTATCAGTAGCCGTCGTGAAAAGCGCCGTATATTACCGGGCCGTATATCGTTCACGGATGATGAATCTCAACGTCCATGACAGGCAACATGCAAGGATTGGACTGCGTAGCATAGATTGACAGAAGATCGACCCAGATACCGGACAGCAATAATACTTCAGAAAACAGTCAAAGGATGGACAATTACAGTTGCGAAATAACGACAAGTATGTCGTCATCGATAAAAAAAAATGTTGTTCTCGCGCTGGCGGATAGAGCTGACTATGCCTCAAGCTGGAGACGGTGTCGGCTCGGCCGGGACACCTCCGTAATCCATTCGCCGTCGGTGTCCTCTGCCTCACCAGGAGTCTCGGCCAGGATCAGGCCATCATTCTCGCCGCTCCTCCGCTTCTTCTTGGCAGGCGTCTGCGCATCCGTCGTCTCGTCGACAGACCGTTTCGTGTTCGTGACCTCAGTGCCAAAATCAACACTCTGACCGCGCTTTGACTTCTTCTTGGACTTCTTCGGTAGGGATACCTCGTTGCCCTCTTCGCCTTCGTCCTCGTCCTCGTCATGGTGGTCGTGCGAGTCGGACCTAGGTCCGTCGTTCACCGAGCGCGAACGCGTCTTCTTGGAGTGCTTCGACTTCTTCGACTTCTTTGGCGCTGGTTCGAACGGTTTGCCGTTCTTGACTGACCACTCGATCTCAAGGATTCTGACGCATCGAAAATAAGCAGGTGTGTATGAAAGAAGAAGCAAGTACCACCCACCGCTCCTGCAGCTTGAGGTTGTCTGGCACGTACGACTGCGCCTTCTTGTACAAGTCCAGCGCGACTTGCAAGTCGCCCCTAGCGAAATATCATACGTCAGCGACTCTAAGGGGATTATTATACAGGGCAAACCCACTTTTCGGACTGAGCCCTTGCCAGGGCGACATATGCTCTCCCGGTCTTTTTCTTCGACGTGGGGGACAGTACGTCCGCTAGCTGCAGCTCCTTGTCGCCGTGATCCCTGTGAAACATGCGATATCAGTCCAATATTCAAAACGTCACAGAGCAGGTGGTTCCCCAAACGCACATCTTCTTCTCGAGCTCCGTCAGCCTCCTCTTCAGCTCGTCGTCCAAGTCGGCGTGCTTCTCCAAAATGGGCGTCATCACACCCGCAGGTAACGACCGGCTTGCCTGGTCCTCATCATGGCTCTGGCCGTGATCCTGACTCTGGTCGCGGTCCATCCCGTCCAATATCCCACCCGGGCCCTCTGACCTCCTCGACCTCTCCTTCTCCAGTTCCTTCTCCAGCTCCTCCAATCTCGCTCGCTCCCGGTCTCTCTCCGCCAAACGGCGCGTGACCTCCTTCTCGACGGCCTTGTTGATCCGCTCCTCGATCTCCTCGTCCGTCAGACTCCTCAGCACGCCGCTGCCCCCACCACCGCTCGACGCAGATTGCGGCGCCTCAGACACGCTGGCGAGGCTGAGCGCGAATGGCTGGAAGCGGAAGTCGGTCGAGGCGCCAGGGGCGAGCGACGTTCGCCGGGGGACTTTGGACGAGCCGGCGTCGACGGGGCGTGGGGCGAGCGAGGGGCGGGGGCCGCGATGGCCGGTGACGGGAACGGTGGGTGCGATGGGTGCAGCGGTAGCGGCGGGGCCAGGAGCGGGCGCAGCTTCTATAGTGGCAGGCAGTGCCGCGGGGGCGAGCTTCGGCGCTTTCTGCTGAACTGCCGCAAAGTGCGGCTTTGGGGCGGGTCGGGAATCTAGAGGGAGGAACGAGGATGGTCAGCTGGGGAAGATGTGTAGAGGGAACGACCTCGAACCTCGTTCGTTGACGACGGGCTTGTTCTCCACGTTCTTGGTGCGCACCGCGAAGCTACGAACGGCACGCGGATCAGACGTGAGCGGGAAGAGGCACAGATGAGGGTCGGACGCACTTGAGGGTGTTGAGGGTGTCCTGCCGGAACCTCGTGCCGGGAGCGAGGTTACAGATGAGCAGGCCCACGCTTTGGCCTCCGAGAGCGTCTTGAAGGATGCGCGTCAGCTTGCTATCGCGATATGGAATACGGCTCTGTGCGCGGGCGCAGGGTCAGACGGAGGTATGATGAGAGAGATGGAAGCGGGAACACACCGCGCCAGAATTCAAGGCGTGCACGACCTGGCCGAGGACGCTGAGCGACTTGTTGATCGCCGAGCTCTCCTCCATCCGCGAACGGTCGTTGCCCGTGTGCTGATCTTACAGCGTCAGCTGGTCGCTCAGCGAGCGCGGCGAAGGGGGAAGGTGGGTACGAACCTTGTTGTTCTCGCTGCCGGCCAGATCGACGAGGTTGATCTTGCCGGTGCGGGTGGTGAACCCACTTTGCATAGCGACCTATCACAGGAACAAGACGTTAAAGAGGAAGCAGATTTGATATCCGGATGGGACAGTACCTCGACGGTGAGCACAGCGTGGCTCCGAGACGAGGCGTGGTTGAGGTTGGTCGAACCCGTCGATCGTCGTTTGTTCGCCTTGCTGGATGACGAGAAACCGAAGAGCAAGACGTCAGATTAGTACGCGTCGTCGCCTCGGTAACGAGACGGTACGAGAAGGACTCACGCGTAGACTGACTCGAATTCGTCCAGGCTGCCCACTGGCACCGTGGACAGGTTGGCGACGAACACCTGCCCGAACTCATTCTCGCGTACGGGCAGCTTCGGCGCCTGGTGAATCCGGACAACGACGTGAGCAGGCCCGTCGATCGAGGACGGAAAAGGTAAATAGGGAGACTGACGCTTTCTCGGGCGACGAAGAGATCGTAGCATTCGTCTTTGTAGATCTCCATGTAGCTCACGGAGAACTCGATGCTGTCCAGGCGCACGCCTGTCGTCTGCTGTATCCTCGTGAGCAACGGATGGAGCCAGTGTTTTGGTGGGAGACTCACGGCGGCGGACGCGGACGTCAATGCTTCGCGGCAGGCGAACAGTTCCTGGTAAAGATAACCTTGGGTTATTACATCTCCCTATGCGCGACTAACCGAGTTTCCAGATTCGAAGAAGGCGTACCTGTAATACTCGGGGAATGACGCCCGGTTCGTCCGGCGTTCCCTGCATGGTATGCGTCTTCCCGGATGAGGTCACGCCGTATGCGAAGATGGTGACGGTCTGCAATCGGGGCTCGTCAGTACCGAGTCAAGCTCTTTGCGCCAAGAGAGGGCATGATAAATGTTGTTGAGGAGATTTCAACGCACCACGCCACCAAATACGGCGTCCAGGAGGGGCCGGACGTCGCGGTTGAAGATTTCGTCTTGGGTGGTTGAAGGCGGCCATGCGGACGAGAACCTGGATGTGAAAACCGTGATCAACTGTCATCCTTCGCGCTTGATCGGAGCTCCCATCCTCCGAGGAGTATGGGGACACGACATGAAGAGAAGGGCCGCAAGGTCGCAGGGGATAAATAGGAATACTCACGGAAATCGGAATATCTGGGTCACGTCTCTTGGATTGGCGACGACCACGCATCCTGAAAGCACACGCAAAGTTCAGCCATAGGTCGTGATAACCTCAATATGCGTGAACCATCGCCGCTCACCTCCGCCTTCTGCCTCCGAATGCGGTTCGACATGAATCCCCCCGTCGTCCACTTCCTGCGGCAGTTTGGGCCTCAGGCGCGCCGAGATCTTGACCTTAGACATCCCTCAAGACAAGATCCGCGTGTTCCAGAGGAGGTGTAAGAGTAATACGAGATTTCAGAGAGCGTTGTGTATTTGATCGCGGTGGATGTGATACAACTTCGGATTGATGGAGTAAAGTCCGCGGTGAGAGACGCGATTTGTTGCGCAATAGCAGTGCCTATTCCCAGTTGGATCTTGACCACGACAGCTGCAGGAGGAATGAGCCCAGGAACGACCGGAAAGGCGGGACCGAGCTTGGACCACAGCGGTTCGACTTTGGCCGCAAAGGGGAGGAAAGGCGCGCGGAGATAAACACGATCACGTGGATACGCTGCCGGTCGTCACGGCGCTTTCAATGGTCGTTCAATGATCGTTGAGGCCCCCACCCGCGGGACCCCTGCGTTTTTGCATCGTCCTCTCTCCGCCCGGCGTCATGAACGGTGAGCGCGTGCTTCGCATGATTGTTGCGATCGTTAATGCTGATTTCTCGGCAGGAATCGTATCGTACAATGAGGATAGCGACGGCGAGGACAGCCAGCACCGTCCCAAGGCGAGCAGCACGACGACAACCGCCCATGTGAGCGTTTCCTCAGCCGGCGTTTCGTCGCACCTGCTTCCCTCTTTCTCGCACGATCTTTTCTCGCTGGGCAGGGCACGACGATGAAGCGAAAGGATGTTGACGCCAGGTTGTCAGACAGTGAGCACCCCTTGTGCCTGTGATGTATCTATGAAATACTCACGTGGACGTTCGTCAGCCCGCCGACCTGCGGCCACGAATACGACGACACAACGGCCGCAAGTTGTAATACGTCGACCGGCGCACGTCAAGGTGCATCCACGAAAGCATAGTCCGAGCCCGCCAGAGGATGACGTCCCAGGGCCGTCGACGAGTACGCTAAGGCCTGCACCATCCACCCAGCAACCCGAGCACGGAGACAGCGCGGCCCGGCTCCGCGCGCTCCTTCATCCGCCGCCTATCCCCGGCGTCGCAGACTGGGGCATCCCCCCCGCCCCATCCGCACCTCCCGACCCCGCGATCCAGGTGAGTACCCCAGATCCCACCCCTACGCTCTCGTCCTCATCAGATGTGCTCACCACCCGTTGCTTTCTGTTTCTGTTTCTTCCCTCATCGGCAGGCTAAACTGGCGAGATTCGCTTCGCTCAAACAGGATCCGAAGTCGCCGCAACATTTCAACGACTCGCTGATGTCCAACCGCGCCTTCCGGAACCCGCACCTGTACGCCAAGCTCGTCGAGTTCGCCGACGTCGACGAGCGCGCTTCCTATTTCCCCCGGACGCTCTGGGACCCGAACGACGTCCGGGAGGAGTGGTTCGCAGACCGAATCGGTGCGTGGTTATCCCAGCAGATGTGTGCTGCGTCGTTGATGCGCGTCCGTTTTCGATCTACGCTACGCGCCCGCCTCTCTGTTTGCTCCGTCGTCAAAACCATATTCGTGTTGGCACCATCACACTCGCTTTGCTATGCTCCGCGGATCTCTGTTGCTTGAATACCCTCATCGCCTGTCGGACATACCAATAATCCCGATGTGGCGATACGACACCTGTGTTCGATGACCGCCATCGGGGAAAACGTCCCTCCACGCATTATCCGACCATCACACCAATACAATATCGCACATCTCGGGCGTTCGATTGGGCTGTGCAATTGCTACATCGCTTGTTCTTTCCATCCATCTGGCGAACCTCAATTCCTCGTGTGCGCGGGCGCATCTCCCCCGCCTTTGTCGTGCATATGAAGCCGAGCGACAAAAAGCGCGCTCGGAGCAGCAAGCAGCGTCTCAGACGAACACCGGCAAGAACGTCAAGCGCACCCACATCGACTTTGCTTCCTCCTCGTCTGTGAAGACGGGAGCGGGGGCTATGAGCGACCTTGCGGCGGCTTATGGAGGAGCCAGGAGTGTGGGGGGCGGGAACCTGTCGTCCGCGCCGGCCAAACGCAGTAGATGGGGGTGATTTGTTCGGATCTTGGTTTTCGGATCGCTCGGTGGCAGCTTGAACGCGGTTTTCGTTTCTCAAGGTCCCTGTCCTGTATCTGACAAACGGGGAAATGGATTTGTGGAGGTGTTGGCAATATCGTCACCGGTGTACCGATTCTCCACGAGATATGATCCGGTCGACCGAACATGGCACCGCAAGCACTCTGGCTTGAAGCGCGGGCTGCTCTGCTGGTTTCCCCGAGTTCTCCTGGATCACAACCGGCGCTCTAGAAAGAACGCTATTGATCATCACCCGGTCTATTCCAAATTGTTCCATCTCCTATCCATGCACTGAAACTTGACTCATTCGGCCGCCTAGCTAGTTATGGCCTATAAAGACTCGCCCTTGAGGCTTAATAAATCAGCTAAATTTTACCCGAAGCGGAGAGAAGGAAGCAGACATCCCAAGAAAGCAAGTGATACGGAGCAGTACACATCTAGCTGAGCTATAGGAACCCGCGTCACGGATATCCGAGCAATAAATCAGAAGCGCTAAGCCAACACAGTTATGTGGCCTTCGATATCTACGCTACACCACCAGCCGATCATGTTAGAACACGTTTTCCCACGGTACTTCGAGACATCGTATATACAGCAGGATTCCCTACGGCACACGCAACACAAAGGTTTATCTAGTGTAAACTACCCAAGTCTAACCCCCGACCCAACAAGGCGGTTCTGAAACGGCTGGTACGAATTTATTTTCGTGCATCACAGCAGGGACCAGAGCTCGATACGGAACGCACCTCTGCACCACACTCGCCAATGATATCGACGCAGTCAACTTTCAATTGCGTGTCCCTCCCTCCCTGACGAGCCTCCATCTCAGCTATACATCGAGGCTCGTTTGTCGATCTAAGTTCTCGTACAGTCACATATGCAAGAGACGGCAAAGGGATGCAAGTCTTTGCCAGCTCGGAGTGGCGAAACTTAGCCTAAGATACATTGCTGGAGCAGTGATAATGATAGACCGCTGCCTTATACCATCGCCCGTGAAAAAGTCTCGGCGTGCAGTACAGCCCCCGGTGCCTCGTGGGAAATCTATCTACCTATACCACAACCTACCATGGTCGGAAAGCCTCGACCCTATCTCAGCCACACCACGCAGTACAACAGCGCGCTGTCGCAAAACATGGCATGCCAACTCCCTTTGCGTCAGAACCGATGCTTGATGAACTTCTGGATCTGAAGGCAAGAGCGATAATTCCCTAATATATGATCCTCAGTCAAAGTATAAGGGAAAAGACTGAGTTACGCATGTAGTACCTAATATATGACTACAGAGGCATCATAAGTACGTTAGGACATAAGGGACATGAAGGGACATGGCAGACTCACTCCTCAGTCAAAGTATAAGGGAAAAGACTGAGGAGATGCGAAGGGAGAGCTCCTGGTATATGTGAGGGAGCTCGAGGGAAGCATTTCCATAAAGGGAACAAAAGAATGTGCCTAAAGCGGTAATATCAATCAGGAAAGATAGAAGATCGCAAAGAAGAACACAAGAATAGAACATGTGAGAGAATCTGTACATAATAGGTAACGAGCGTGTGATATTTCCTTATATATACAATATACAAAGTTCAACACTCCCGCTTGTTCAAGTTGCGATCGAAGGAACAGAAGGAATAAGTCCTGAATGAGTGACAAAATGTTCCAAGACATTGAATGGAACATTCTTTGTGAAAACGTCGGCCATTTGGTCCTCAGTCGCCACGTAGAAGATATCCACTTGACCACTTTCATAGAATTCACGAATATAGTGGTAGCGAATTTCGATGTGTTTAGTGCGGCGATCAAGCACAGGATTGACGGAAAGAAAAATGGATCCTTGGTTATCGACACACAAAGGAGTTGGAGCTGAGATATCATCACCAAGCTCTTCACCAAAGGTGCGAA